GCTGTTCGCTCCCCCGGGCCCGGCAGAGCCCTGGGAGGGGGAAAGGCTCCGTCCCCGACTCTCACCGCGGTCACGGGTCAGGCAGGGCCAAGCACAGCCCCAGCTGCTGTCTCCCGCTGCTGGCGCTCCTTACATAATGGGATCTCAGTGCTCGTGCCCAACTCCCCGGCGAGAGCTTGAAAACAAGTTCATAAACAGGTCCTGCTAATTTCTCCCGCAAGAGAAACGCTGGCGCCCACAGGAATGCTGCCACCAGCAGCTGTCCTCACTCTCCTCAAGCACCCTCACTGCGAGTATCGGTCACGTGCTGGGGAGAGATGTGCAGTGACAGCCTTAACAAGCACAAATCAGTCATGCTCACAGCACTTGACACAGCACCCGATAGCACTTGGTTTATTTTGTATTTGCACTGCAGGAGGATTTAGAGGCTCCACACTGGAGTCCCTTTGGCAAGATGTCCCATGGAGAGCTGGTCTGTCACCCTGAATCCAGGAGCCAGCACAGCCTCTGCCCTGAGCTCAGCCCCCATACAGCTGGAGCCCAACAAGCTCTCCTCGGTGTGGTGAACTGAGGCAGTTTGCCATGGATTCAGCACAGCTGGGCTGGGGAGCACAGCTCTGCCTGGGACAGCCACGACAGGGCTGGCTCCAGCTGCTGAAGGGAGTCAGCTCCATAATCAGTGCCCTGGTCACCCCCTCCTTCTCCCTGGCTCCATTCTGTTCCGCAGAGAGCACAGAGAGGTTTTTGCCATAGCCCAGCAGCACCAGGCTGCAGCTGCTGGTCAGCCCTGTAAGGAAAGCTTCACTGGTACCACAGCTGTTAGCCTGGGCCCCGCACAGCACCCTGAGCCTCAGCATCAGAGCAGGCACCGGTGCTTCAGTCAGACATACCAAGCCAAAGATCCCTCCAGGCAGCCAGGATTGCTGCCCTGGGCAGTGTGGGAAGACACTGAGCAGCCAGAAGAGGACCAGAGCCTCTTCCAGAAAGTGCATGGTGACTGGCCCTGAGTCACAGTGTATCCCCACACTGTCCTGCCAGCACAGCTCAGCCTGCCAGGGCAGGCATCTGCAGATGATGGGGTTTCACTGAAGGATGCCCTAGAAACAGGCTGCCGAGGGCCCTGGAAGGGCTCTCAGGAGGATGTGATTGATCTCCAGGACATCTCACCAGGCTCACCACCTCTCTGCCATTTGGGCCCTGTACTCCTCCATACTGCTGACAGCCAGGTCCCCTGTTGCCCTCACCCCCGCTCCTGCCAGACAGGGTGGGGATGCTGCTCCCTCTGTTCCCACCTCCCCAGCCTGGAGGAACAGTTTGGGCTGTGCTCAAGCAGACCAGAGGATGTTTGTTTGGTTTCCTTGGTTACTGCACTGCCTGCTCCAGTAATCACATTTTCCTTGTGCTGGCTGGGCCAAAAGCAGCAGAGAGGAAATGTGGAATGGCTGAGGTCAAACACCAGCCTGGGAACAGCTGGGACCACCAGCCACAGCCCCTGTGTGTCACTTGGGTCCTTGCTGTTGTGGGTACCCAACCCAAAAGGGAGTTATCAGGCCCAGGGCTGCAGCAACAAGCTCCTTCAGCAACAGCCCGAGGGCTCCCATCATCCCTCCCTCCCGTGAGCTGGGGATACAGGCACCAGCGGTGAACTGCGTGAGGAATTACAGGAATGAAAATGTTTGTGCAGGCAGAAGCCAAGCTGGCTGTGTGAGCAGGGAGCTGAGCAGGGATGTGAGTGGGAGCCTGCGAGCATGGGTGCGGCTGTATTTATAGTGGCGGTGGCGGTGTGGGTGCACACAGGCAGGGGTGACAGGGTTGTGGGTGCCTTTTATTCCTTATGCATCTCTCAGCCCAGAAAGCCTGGAGCACTAACGCCAGTTCTTGTCCCTGGGAGTTCCCCTGCTTGTTAGCATTCACAGTCAGCTCTCTGTTTGGTAGCAAGGAAACTGAAACTTGAACGTGTGCAAACCGTGTCTGATCTCATACCAGCACCCTTTCCCCCTCGGTAATTCCCTCCAGCAGCTGGAACACAGCGAATGAGCTCCCCATTCCCTGCTGCCCTGCACCTCAGAAGTGGGATCTGAGGCTTCAGCACAGCAAGTGCTGCTGACACTGCTGTTCCAGCGTGTAACATCTACCCACGGTGGCTAAATCCATGTGTGCTGGTAAAGTAGAGCAGAAGGGAATCACAACCCCTCCAGCACAGCTGCACGGTGTGAGCTGGGACAGGCAGGAGGGCTCACACAGCCCTGCCTGGTCTGACTCTCCTTGCCTCTCTCCCCAGCTGACATGGAGCAGGCACAGCGGAACCTGGATGCAGAGCAAATGCAGCAGCAGCAGCTGAAACTACGGGACCGGCAGAAGTTCTTTGAGGAGGTTTTTCAGCATGATGTGGATTTCTTCTTCCCAATGTCTCACCTGCAGATAGAGCATCGGAGACGTAAGTCCTGTGGGCACCAGGGAGTGTTTCAGGGATCGATGACACAGGGGTTAGAGATTGGTGGGACATCCCCAGGCTAAAAGCAGCTAGGGACACACATGTCCTGCACTGAGATGGGACCACACAGGCTGTGTGTGGGTGTGCTGTGGATTACTCACACTACTTAACTAAGACACTGCACATGGGCACCCAGACTGGCGCCCTGCAGAGTCACTGGCTTCAGGCAGGCCTCCCCAGACAGCAGTTTGGAGCAGGGACAAGGACTGCAACGAGACAGTAGGGACTTCCACAAGGATGTTTTAAGGAAACATGATTTCTCAGGGACCTCTTCACAGCAAGTAGAATTCAGTTCCCTACAGCAAGGCTGGTCTCCCTCCTTGGGGTTCTGCCTGGACAGGGCTGATGGTGCCCTTTGCCTGGCACTAGCACTCACCTTTTCACTGACCTCTGTCTCTGCAGCTCCCTTAGGCAGCATTTCCTCCATGGAGGTGAACGTGGACATGCTGGAGCAGATGGACATGATCGACCTGTCAGACCAGGACAGTGTGGATGTATTTCTGGGCTGTGGGACAGAGGAGAGCAGCATTGTTGGGTCCCTGCCAGGTATGTGCAGGCCTGAGCCTTTTGTGGGACAGGCTGGAAATCCTTCCTGCCCCCAGTGCCCACATAGGCTAATTCCTCAGCCCTGGACACCCTGTGTGTAGATCCACACCCACCCAAAGACAGATACTTGGTGCTGGGGTCTCTGAGCTTGGAGGGACCTCACACTGGACTAGTCCATGTCAGTATCCACCTCCACAGCCCAGATGTACAGACCCCTGTAAACACCTTATGCTGCAGAAGATAGAAGAGCCCAGGCACCTTCTGGAGTCCATGGGGCAAATTATCATGTCCTGAAGCTCCTCTGGAGCAGTCAGTGTCTTGTAATGATTTCCCAGGT